TTTTTGTTGTTGTTTTGTCGTTTTTTATATATATATATTTTTTTTTTGTCGCCGTCGTCGTCGCCGCCGCCGTCTTCCATTCGTAACACTACGCTTTGCTCAGGTCCCACCTTTCCTCTCTCTTTTTTTTGTTTTTTTTTGTAAATGTTTTTTTTTCTTCATGCATTTTATAGCCTTTGAGAATAAATAAGCTCCGTTTTGCTTCCACATCTCTAAAAACTGCAGCATTTTTAACTATTGTCGTTTCAACCGTGCAATTATTTTTTTTGTGTGTGTTTTTTTTTTTTTTTTGCAACACCCCTTTAAAAAAAAAAAATGGGAAAATACATATATATATATTCAAACTAAACCCTATACAACGCCAAAAAAAAAAATCCAAATTTAAAAAAAAAAAAAATTATACACAATTTGTAACTGTCAACAGTACAGATGAGCACGAGAAATAAAAACCGCAAAGATCCGAACGGATTCATAGAAGCACGAAGGAGGGTGTTGGTTTCTTAAGATTGTCGTTTCTCGTTGTCTTTTGAAAATTAGGAGGAGTTTCCTGGACTCTTATGGGGAATTAAATGACCTGGGCAGAATGATGATGACCCCGAGCTCACGATGGGATGGGAGAGAAATCCCAATGCGCCGACCCAAGGCGTCAGTGCTGAGCTGTGGCGTCGTGGCGCTGCGCTGCTCCGGTTTGGCACGGCTTGGAGCACACCAAGCAGCCCAACTCCACGTGGCTGAAAGCAGTGATGCTTTACGGTCGTTCTGTTGGGTTTGTTTGGGTTGGTTTTTTTTGTATTTTTTTTTTTCCTTTTTTTTTTTTTCTGGCTCTCTGAGATGTGAAGTCAGGGCGTGAAGTCAATGAGCAGAAATGTTCCGTCGCCCTCCAAGCGCCGCGCTGCTGCCTTCCCGCTCCTTTGCGGGGCCGGAAAAACGTTTGGTTGCGGCGTTATTTTTTCTTGCAGGACGGTCAGGAAAAAGAAAAGAAAATGAGAGCGACGAGACGTCGTCAATCCCACCTAATTTCCAAAGCGAGGCCGTGCAAAGAGCTGCCGTGTGGGTCCGATGCACGCAGGGTGCTGGCGGTGTGGCTGCTTCCTGGATGGACGTGGGGACAGAGCTGGGACAGAGGGATGGAGCTGGGACGTGGGGACAGATCCACGTCACCTCGGTGTGGACAAGAAGCCCGGCGCACACCGTGCAGGGTTTGAGGAGGAGGGATAAGGATTGGGGCACAGAATCTGCCCACGTGGGTCCCCCCCCCCTCCTCAAGCCCGGCCCGGAGTGCCGCAATAGGAATGGAACACCAAAACATTTTGCATTCGGAACCAGATCAGCCTTTGGGGAAATGGTGGCAAACGGGACTTTTCAAAGGGTTTCAGCAGGAGGTCGCTGCCAGCACACCTCTTTCAGCTCCGCGCAGGGATTGTGGGGCTGCGTTGGCTCCGTGCTGCCTCTCCACAGCCATCACCGTTCACTCCCATCTGAATTTTCGGAGGCCTTCCTCTGACTGCTCGCCTTAAGTTGCCCGCATTCATTTTCATCACAATCCGCCCCAGTGCAACAGGTTGGGCTGGAACCTAACTCTGCTGGGATCTCTGGGAGGAGGCAGATGCACAACCCTCATCCCCTGGGGAACTCCCTGTGCAGGATGAGTTTAGGTGCTGGGGCAGGTTCTGTGTCATTCTGCAACCACAAGCTTCAGTGAAGAGGAACTATGTGGCCGGAGGACCGTCCTCACAGTCCTGAGCAGGGACAGGGGCAGAGATGGCACCACAAAGCAGCTCCAGAACTTCCCCTGCTTCCCTCGTGCCCTTTTTCCTTCCACTGAACCAGGTGGCTGAGGCTGCTGCAGAGATCCTGTGCAGCTCAGTTCACTCCTCCCGAGGCCTTCAGGCAAAATCCCTAAGGACGTTATTTCAGTGGCAATCCTTAAATAACAACGATTTACTCCTAGCTTCTAACTTAAAGCTTCGACCCATACAGAACAGGGAATGCATTTTAGACACACTTGCAGCATTTTTTTTTGGTAAAACGACTGTTTCTCCCAAACCAGCCCTGCCTCAGCCAAGCACCCTGCGGGGCTCAGTGGGACCTCAGCAGAGGTGGCTGAAGGTTTTGGATGGTTGTGGCCAGAAGCAGCGGTGCCCCCTTCTCTGCAGGGAAAGATGATGATGTCCACAACCACCTCTCACCCAAACAGCAAAGATCAAGCCTTAAACCTGTCTCGTGTTCCCCCTACACCTCCAAGCAACGCTGCAGCACACAGCCTTGTCCCATGGGACTGAACCATCCCCTCCTGCCCAGGCTGTGCGGAGGCCCTCAGGGATGCTCAGCGCCTGCATCGCTGCACCAGCGCAGCCCCACAGCCCCCAGCTCCAATCCCTCTCCCTTTGACTTCCTTGCCACCCAACCTGGAACTCACAGCTCCCAGCTGTACGAACTGCGTGCGTCGCCCGTTGTGCTAGAATGAATGCCTACAAAATCCTAAAGCTATTTCTCAGGCAGTTTATGATAATCTCCCCACCCCAACCCCTAAAACCCGTTTTTGTCCCCAGAATCCTCCCCTCCCCCCCCCCTCCCCTCCCCGCTGCGAGCCAGCGGCGCTCCTGGGGATGACGGGGACCCGTTATGTGACCCAGGTATCCAACCGCATGCGTTTCACTGAAGGGCTCTCCCCCTCAGCCTCACCGCCAGGGCGCAGCAGCCCCAGGGAGGAGCTGAAGTCGGTGCGAGTGGGATCATCTCGCTCACTGCCCTCGTAGGAGCTGGTGTTGCTGCTGAGGCTGTCGACAGGCGAGCGGCCGGTGGGCTCGTGGCGGGGCTGGTGGGGGAAGGTGCTGAGTGGGGTGGCAGTGTTTCGTTCCCGGTTGGGTGAAACGGGCTCCGACTTGATGCTGATGTTGGGGTTGGTGTTGACAGTCAAAGTGGTGGTGTGCGACAAGTGGCTTCCTTGTCTGAGCATCCACAGGAACAGGGGAGGGAGGGGAGGAAGGGGAGGAGGAGACAATGGGAAGCCTCTCGTTACTTATCGTTCCAGCAGCCCTCTGCCCATCCGCAGAATTCATCACCCACCCTTCACTGCGAACACGACATCCCTGCCAGGCCAGGACCTGATCCTGCCAACCTCATCCCCACCGGGCTGGAGCCCACAGCAGCTCCCCAGCACAGCACCCCAAAGGCAGAGAGCATTCAGCAGTGCTCAGCCTCACCAACGGTTGTGCAAAACCATCAGAGCGTGGGGTTGTCTGGGCACTGCAGAGCTCTTGAGCTCCTGACCAAAGGATGGAGCACGCCCTGGAGCCCCTGCTGGGCAATGCACAACCTGCTCTGAGCAACTCGTGCTAGAGGCAGGTGCAAGCAGCTTTCCCCTGCGGAGGCTTTAGGGCTCCCACTGAACTCCTCCGTTTCTTCAGTCCCTGCTTCTTTCTGTTCTGCAGTCTCTGCGCAACCAAGAGCGAGCTGCTTCAATCTTTATTTCGACTGCAGTACTGTGAGAAAGCTCTGTGAGTGGGGATGCTTTATTTCCAGCTCCATTTCAGAGCACCTGTTCCAGCAGCAGACTGCATGGATGGTTTTGGTTTTTTTTTTTTGGAGTAAAGCAATTCATTTTCCATGTTACAAATAGCCTTCCCTACGATGCCAGGACCACTATTAGCAGTTCCCTTATCTGCCATGCCTACTCCATGCCCTCTTCCTCTCCTGTGTCAGAAGGGAGCAATGCTCCTGCTGCACTTGGGCAGCCATCTCCAAGCCATGGCTCTCAGAAAGCAGCACCCCGCCCTGACCTTGCCTGGGGACTCCCAGTCACCTCTGGGACAGCGGTGCCCAATTCCCTCCGCATCATTTTATTACCATTTGTACCATCAGCTGAGTGGCCCTGGGGCTCATTTCACTTACATTAAATTTCCTAGTGATACAGGAACCAGGTGCTGCTGCTGCTGTTGTTGTTGCTGCTGCTGTTGCTGCTGCTGCTGTTGCTGTTGTTGCTGCTGCTGCTGCTGCTGTTGCTGCTGCTGCTGCTGCTGCTGCTGTTGCTGTTGCTGTTGTTGTTGCTGCCAGGCAGAGATGTTGCCAAGGGACAACCCACCAGGTGAGCTGAATGCTGGCAGTGAAGATAACTCAGCACTTGTCAGCTGATAATCTGGAAGGGAAGGAGCTCTTCAGTCATTTCAATGTCAGGGCTTCTCTGACCCAGCCCTGAGCACTGCAGGAAGACAGAGACCCACTCAAGAGGTACAACAGAGCTGTGCCTTTCTGGGGAATAGCTCAGGGACTCGGCAGCTTCATAGAGATGCTGGGCATGGGAGGTGACTCTTCCAGCTTCGAGGCTTTTACTGTCCGAAACATAAACACTGCAGTGCACTTGGTTCTCTCCAGTACCACACAACCACAGACATCCACATGCAAATGCACGCACGGAGGCAAAGGGGACAGATTCAGTGCCTTACAATCTGCACATCCACCCTACAGCCAGTCTGAGCAGCTGGCAGAGAGGGAGCAGTGCCAAATCCCCCTGTGTGCCTCCCCTCCTGCCCGCAGGGCCATAAGGAGCAGGGGGGCAGGAGGGCCACTCAGTCTGCGCATCCCAGACCCACTTCTGCACAACCACAACCGGCTTCTGAGCATCAGCAGATGGCGCTCCCTCCCCATAGGAGGAGGCCAAGCTGCAAGGAGCCTGCCTCGAAGCAGGACCCACTGCAAGGAGCTGCACAGCCCAGCAGGAGGACCCAGCCCAACACTCTGCAAGTTGCCAAGGTGGCAACTCCTCAGCTACGCAGCACGGGGAAGGAAGCTGCTCTTCCAAGAGATGGCCAAAGCTTTGATCAGCCCTTTCCTCAGAGCCACGTCTGCATCTGATAGGGATGTAGATGCTCGATGCTGATCTGCCCTCACCCCACTCCTCCCCACTGCCTCTGTCATTTTGGGTGCCTGTGGTTTCAGCTTCCCCACCCCTGCAGCAGCAGCAGCAGCACACAAAGGAGGCTGCCAGGCAGCAAGCAATGCTGGCAGGCTGACGGCAGGCACTCCCTGCACAGCAGCAGCCCCATTCTCACCCCATGAGAATTCCCACTAGCGCTGGTCCTTCCATTTCTGCAAACACCCCCAGGTCTGACGACCCCGAGCAGCGCAAGGAAGGGCACACAGCTCCTGTAACCTCAGCAGCCCCACGGGGAGGACATCCCTAGGTTATAAGTGGGAGGAACAAGGAGCAGCACCCAGGGCTTGGGTTTGGTGCAGACATCTGCACCCCATAGCGATGTGAGCCCTGCCAGCCCTGTGGCATTCAGACATCCCAGCCACAGGCGCCCGGGTGGGAATGGTTTCTCTGCCTGCGGCCAAGCTGCAGGAGGAAAATAAATACCAAAAGATAACAACCAGCTCTACCCCCCGCCCCCCCGTACAACCCCCCACCAAGATTTGTAGCAGTGCAAGGCCCAATTAAAACCTATTTCGGGGACTTTAGCAACACCCAGACTCATTGGTGGCCCGCACCGACTTCCACACAGGGGGAGAAGTCAAACAGGCATCTCCTGGGCTACACCTATTAATTATGTGAGGGAGTTCCCAGCACGCCTATCCTGGGTTCTTCCAGACGAGCAGCTTTCTGCATTTCTTCCAATTTTTTCTCTGAGCAAACACCAAAGTGAGTGATGAGGGAAAACATCCCTGCATCACTCCCTGGTGCCCCCAGGGGTTTGGGCAGGCTGCAGGTGAGCAGCCCCTTTGCTGGAGTTGCCTTGGGCTAGCACACACCTCACCAGCCCTACAAGCAGGACGGTCTGCATTCTTTCCAAACTTTTGGGTCCCTGACGCTCATTTTCATTAAGCCCCTATTACAACATCACTTGCAGCTTTCGAGAGAGCCCTGAGATGGGCGTAGCTGCAATTAACATCCACTTAAAAGCATCTTCACGCTGCCAACACCACGTAATGGGCTACGGCATGAGAACCGTGCCCTCACAGCCTTCCTGGATTCAACAGCGAGTTCCCATTCTTAATATAATGAGTTTCCCCTTTGTTTTCATCTCGTGAAACTCTTGGCCTCCGACCGCATCTGGCAGCGGTGAGCTGCACCAGATGCTCTCTGCAGCCATTCAGGGAGATGTGCAGGAGGTGGCAGCGCCCTCACCTGTGTTGTACGCAGTCGGCATGGCAGAGAACGGCAGCCCCTGTGTCAGCAGGCTCGGGGTGGCCACAGAAACAACCGGTGTGGTTAGAGAGTGAGTCGCCTGGGAGACACCTAACCGCTGTGTGTTCTGCTGGGGAAGCAAATGGAGGCTGTTACAAGGCGGCCCGCTGCACCCCAAGCCCCAAACCCCAGCAGGTTCCAGACACCCACGACCTCCGTGAAGCTCACGGGCAGCTCAGGGAGCCCTTGGATCACTTTTCTGCTCAGGGCTGGGGGTTTTCTGCACGGAGGGCATCACTGTGCTGCTGCAGCGAGGTGCCTGTTTGTAAGGCACAAATCCTTACAGCCCCCCTGCCCCTGCTGAAACAAAACCAGCTACTATTTCCCAGAGGATGCATGCGATTGCCTTCACTGCACTGGGAGAAAATCACAGTACGAAATCAGTGCCTGGTGCTGCACAGGGCTGCTCCTCCTGCAGCACAGGCGAGTCCCTGGCCTCCAACACAAGATGCAGACGTGAGGCACAACTGAGAGGATTGTAAGGGTGCTGTGGCATCCTAGAAACCAGCTCTCAGCAGCCCCTGGGCTTGGTGCCCTCACGAGGTTGGGGTGACTCAGGCATTAGCAGGGTCCCTGGTGGAAAAATCCTGCGCTCATCTGGGTGCACGCCAGCCTCTCCCCACGGCTCTTCAGGCGGTTACGTGGGCAGATCTACGGGTCAGCTTCAGCCCTGTTTACAAGGCAGATAATCTGGGCTGCCTCTGCTGATCTGATTTAAATCAGACTCAAGAGGCTTGCCTCTAATCTGCAGCACCCCCGGCACACGTCACCCCGTGAAGCCTGGGGCACTGCCCAGCTCCCAGCACGCCTGGCACGAGGCTGCTGCATCCCCTGGGGCACAGCCTGCACCAGCACAGCAGCACCCAGGGCAGCCATGGAGTTTTAGGGCCAGGCATGAGTGTCTGCACCAACACAGGATCTCCTGGGGTGCACTCAGCACCTCAACCCTGCCCTAGAAGGGTATGCAGCACCCACCCGCTGCCGAGGAAGGCGATTAGCTGGGTGCTAATTGCTGAAGAGCTGAGGCTGTCAGAGGTTTTCCTGGCTTGCATCCTGCTGGCAGTCACCCTAGGGGGTGCCCACTGCCCCATAGGGCAGGGATGCTGAAGGGGAATGCCATCACCAGGAGCTCATCCCCTGCAGTCTCAGGTGTGTGGCCTCGCCATGCCGCAAGGCAGCACCTAGTTTTAATCCCAAACCATGCAGGCAAAAGGTGCTGACATGTGCAAGATGCCACACATAGGTTGCAAAATACCCTGAGTGGCAAGCTGCCACTCGGGCTTGTTACAAAACCATGCAGTCATGCTCCCAGGTGACATGGTGGTGCACTGGTAGAACAGATTCTGCCCTATGCTTCCAATGGGAAACAGCCCATGGCATGCAGAAACATGAAGGGGTATCACCTTCCTGACCCCACTAAAAGCAGCTCCACGGCTTACATTGGGGTGGCTGGGAGCATCCTGGGGAGAGCAGGCGGGTGACATCCCAGGGAAAAGAGAGCTAGGATAAGAGCTGGGGGCAACATGCAGGGAGGGGATGCAGGGAGGTGGGTGACTGCAGCACTGAGCCTGCAGAGCAGCTGTGGGCAGATGGCCCCCACCTGCAGAGCTGTGCCAAGCTCCCTGTCCCCCTCCTGGATTCTGTCACCTCGCTGCCAGCTGGGGTTGGGCAAGGACCACATTTTGCTACAGGCAGAGTCAGCCTGGCAGCTCCAATTAAAACTATTCATGCTAACCTGGCTGATTTTTGCCTAAAGCCAGCTGCTCCTTCAGGCAATGCCCTGCGGCAGAGGGAAGGGTGAGGTGGAGGTGCTGGCTGTTTGGAGGCTGCAGGTGGGGAAACTGAGGCACAACGCTGCCAGGGATTCGGGTAGGGAAGGGAGGTTTGTAGGGCACGGAGAGAAGCAGAATTCAAGTCTGCAAAAGCCTCAGCCAGCCCTGGCCCTGGCCAAGTATCTCCTCGCAGGCTGCGAGAGGTCCTGCCTCATTCCTGTGCTTTTGGAAAGCTTTTCCCTGGCTGTGTTTGCTGCATCCTACAGTGGCTCTCGTCCTTTCCTCACTGCGCTGACCTGTCGCCCATCTGCCCTGAACCAGAATAGCAACAGAAAAGGGTGAATCATTGCCACAAACAAGGTGGTGTTCACTTTGCTGGCAGAAAGGAAAAAAAAAAAAAAAAAAAAGCCATAAAAATAACACAGAAAATTGCCCCTGTGCACAAACAAGGGCTGGTGCACGGGTGAGCCAGGCAATGAATTCACACAGGCTGTAAATAATAGCTTCATAGGAAAATAGGAGAGAGCCTATGCTACTCTCCCCCCCCCCGCTGCGGGCCAGGTTTCCCCATGCCCCCCTATGGGGACAGCAGTGCCCAGGTTGGCTGTGTGGCACACAGGCACACGGGGTGAGTCCCTAAGGAGGATGAACCACCTGACAGCTTGCGTGACAGCCTGCAGCTCAGCCCTTCCTTCCGATTTGTCTAAAAACAAGGGGGGTTTCGTAGCTCCTTTAAGGAAGGGGGCAGCGACATCGATGCCGCGCTCCCAGCGGAGGGGCCAGTCAGGGATGCAGGGACAAACGGGAGAAGCGGCCCAGGTCACAGCCCCACCACAACGCACTCTCAGTGTCACTCACCAGAGCCAGGTGATCCTCCGTCTGCCCGCACAGGAACGGGGAGAAAACCAAGAGGCACCATTAACCCGCTGCCCTCACCCACCGCCGCCGCACCCCGCGCTTGCCGGCTGCTCGCGGGGACGGGGCGCGCGTCGCACGCCGGGTGACATTCGTGCGCGCAATGAGGGACACGCAGGGGGTTCGGTGCAAAGGGAAACGCAAAGGGAAATCCTCCCAGCTCCCACCGGCACAACGGGGAAGAGGTGCCTGTACCGAACCCACGCTGGTGCCAAGCTCCCTGGCAGTGCCACGCGGCGCTGCTCACCAGGTGGTGCATCAGCCCTTTGCCGCTCTGCGAGGTGATGACGCGCAGGTCCGGCTTGCGGCTGTTGGTGGCGAGCTGCGTGCTGTGGGGTGGTGGTGGAGGGGACTTGGCTGGGATGATCTTGCCCAAAGTGCTGCCGTTGGAGACGGGAAGGAGACCAGGGGAGGCACGAGCGCTCACGTAGCCGTTGCCTGCGGGAGAACGGCCACAAGGTGAAACGCGTGGCGATGGCGAGCCCTGCGAAGCTGTCCTGGGTGTGCAGAGCAGGGATGCAGACCCCCATGCACCGAGCAGCTCCTCGCCTGCAGGAGCCCACGGGCATCACCGCAACGCTGCAGTGCTGCCTTCAGCACGACCCCTGCACGCTGCTGGTAGCAGGGCAGCAGGGCCCTGTCGAGGCAGATAATCGCTCTCACGTTCACTTTTGAAGCTGCTTTTTGGCAGCAAAAAGGGCTGTGGGCAGAGCGGAAGACCTGGCGCACTGATCCCACTGCCCCTTTGAAGATCTGAGAGTCTCTCCTCCTCCTCCTCCTCCTCCTCCCGCTGCCCCACTTAAGGATTTTATGTGCAAAGAGGAGAAGGCAAAAAAAAAAAAAAAAGAAAAAAGAAAAAAGGGAAGGAAAAAAAAAAATTTAAAAAGGAAAAGATTTGATGAACATCAGGAAGGGAATAAATTGGATCAGATTACTGTTCTGATGAGGGCTTTTTTTTTTTTTTTTTATTTTTATGAATAGGCCCCAAAGATAGAAAGGCGTTTAGCAATCACCAGGATTCAGCCCTCGTATTCACTGCACGTTAGACCAGGAAAAATAGGTCGCTGATTGCATTATTAATCACATCTACCACTGCTCTACATCTGCATTTCAGCTGGCAGCGGCAATGCTGCAGCCATGGCAGGTGCCCACTGCCGCCCCAGGCCAGGCACACTGGGGATGGGATGATCCTGGCGAGGACACAGCCTTGCCCCCCAACCCTGAGATGGGAACAGAGCCTAAAGGAAAGTTAAAACTTGATGCTTTTGTTGCTGAGATGGCATCAACATCAATGCGCACGCGTGCAGCTCCAACGGCAACCACAAATTCAAGGTATGCTGCCTCACGACGGTGGGCAGCTGTTGGGGTGGGTGGGCAGGACACCGGTGCTGTGGGGTTGGGGTGGACGTGTCTAATGAAGTAAAACGCCTGCCATGCTGTGCCTAGACGGAACAACAACGTGCTGCTCTGCACAGGGGAAAAATGCACAAATGCAACATCTTCAAAAGTGTAAAGACACCCAAACGCAGGGAGGCTGATGGACGCAGTGAGCACAGGGTGTTTCCCTCCAGATGCAAGGTGGGCACAGCAGAATCTGCATGGCTGCAGAATCCGGGCCGCGGCCACCCGCGGTTGATGACTCAGAAGCTGCAGGTAACCTCAATCCCGCAGAGCGCGCGAGGAAGAGGAGGACAGGAGGACGAGATGCCCCAGGGACACAGAAGCCCCCCGTGGACGGAGGGCAGGCAGGGCTGGCCATGCCCCGCTCCTCACGCCCGTTTCCTGGAGCGGCGGCAGGAACGCGGGGAATGCTGCGGTGCTGCGGTGACGTCAATGCTGACATTCAGCAGCTCTGCCAAGCTCCTCGCTGCCACGGCTGCTCACAACAGCTGACGTGGGGGCGGCGGGTGGCTTTGGGGGGCAGCAGGGCGGGGGGGGTGCAGCCCCACACAGCCCCCCTCTCCCTTCTAGCAGAAGCCACCCCATCCCCACGCGGGCTGGCGGTGCTGCAGAAGCGCTTCCGAACCAGTTTGGGTTTCACTGGGGTTAATGCCAATAGCCAGGCTTCTCCAGAGTGAGCCTCTGGCAAAACTAGCATCAAAAGGGACAATCAGGGGGCAGGGCTCTGCTCGCCTGGGACAGCAGGTGCCAGAGGCTGTGTGTTGGCTGACCCGAGCCGCGGGCAGGAGGCATTATTAGCTCATTTTATAGCCGGGGAGTTAAGCCACACGGTCTGAGCTGAGTTAGTGCCGGGGCTCTTGCAGTGGAAAGGGGCCTTAATGAGCTTTTTTCCTCGCTGTAAAGTTCCTTTACAGGGCCCAAGTGCATGGAGGAATCAGGTGTTAAGTAACTCAGCTGAGGTCAGCGGAGGAGCGGGTTTCAGCTCGGGGTGCTAAAGCCCAAATCAGGTCTTCTTTTGTCTGCCAAAAGCCAAAGCTCTTTGGTTTGTAGCTCTTCCAAAGAGCAAGAACCTCAGCCCCACGAAGCACATCACTTCCCTGTATCTCTGATGGAACATTGCAGAGAGGCTGGCCTGGAGCATCTCCGGCAAAGCCTCTCGCTGCCAAACCCTCCTTAGCACTTCTCCATTCCCCAAATGTGCTGGGTTGAAAGGAAAACACATTCCTGTGTTATTGATGGGAAATGGAGGCACAGAAGAGAGAAAAGAGCCCAGCCTGCTAGTGCCAGCCCCACACCGCTCCTCACTTACCCACAGGACTCGGGCAAGCTCCGTTGGTGTTGTTCAGGTCACCCCCAAGCATCGCCCCTATGAAACAACCAGAAACACGGGGTCAGGGCCATGCTGAACATCGCTCCTGGGGGAGGGAGGAAGGCAAAGGAAAATCAGCAGTGCTGCATTCCCGGCGAGAAAGTCCTGGGCAAAATGAGCAGCATTCCTGGTGATCAGGTTTGGAAACAATATCCAGGCAGATCCGTTTCCTTTGGGCAGCAGCCAGGCGGCACAAGGGCCTGGTCCAAAGCACACGGCTTGGAAAACACTGTGGCTATTTTGTTCCAAGCCTTCTGGAGGTACACAGGGGCTGTGCTGCAGGGAAATGAGCCCCAACAGCACAGTGTGAAACACTATCTGCCCTGTAACGTTTGCACCGAATGGAAACCACCCCTAACACTGCCAGCGCTGCTGCAACGCTGCCTTCCATGGCTCTGCTGCACGAAGGTGAATGCTTGGACAGCACTGGGAAAAGCAAAGCAGGGGCCTCAGGCTGCCCAATAACAGCTCCATCACCCCGAGACAGGAAACTGCCTCCAGCCACTGCTGTCAAAGCAGGGCTCAGGGTGGCAGCAGGCCCTTGAAAGCACCAATGCCAGCATGCTGCCGCGCAAGATAGGCATTTTGTTCCCCATGTGAAAGCGTGATCATGGGTGTCGTGGTCCCAAAAATACTTTACTTGGCAAAAGGGTACAGAGTTCCCTAGAGCACAACAGGCACCGTGCTCCCTGCAGGGGATGGGGATGCAAAGCAGGGTCTTGGTTGCATTGAAGTCCTTGAGCAGACGGCAGCAGTGAGCACTGAGCAAGCTCCACGCCAGCACTGCCTTTGCTTTGGAAACAATAACGCAGCTCGCTGCATTCCTCTTGACTGCATTGTTAAAAAAAAATTATATATATATATATATATATATATATATATAAAAGAAATAGCTTGTCTCACATGCAAGGCTCTGGCTCCCATAAACAGGATTTCTTCCGTGTCCCAGGCAGTGAGTGAATGAAATGCAGATGGTTGGACTTGGAACACCTCAGTGCTCGCAACCACAAAATTATTCCCCCTTGAAACAAATGTTTCGTGAGCTGGATGGAAACGGCAAGCGCCAAGCAGGCTCTGCTTGACAGCAAAGCCTCTTTTTTTCTGCAGAGGCCAGCAAGAGGGCAGGGGTGATGCCTACAGACAGAGCCACAGCGCAGGAGGGAGATGCTGCTCTTTGGAACCAGCAAAAAGATCCCTTTTCCTCTGAAATCTGGGGCCCTGCTCCTCATGCCCAACTCCTTCAGTCTTTCAGTGAGCCTGGGCAGCCAAACCAACACTGCCTCTGCCATTTGCAGCCCAAACGACTTTTACAGACCATCTGCAAGGACCGAAATAGCAAGCAGGGGCTTTCTGCGTGCTATTATTATTTATGATGGCACCGCAGGAGAGTCGGGCTGCGGTCACATGTCCCCCTCACCGCAGGGAGCGCGGGTGACGAGAGCCTTTCCCCAACCTGCTCTCACCACCCCACGCCAGTCCCCGCTGGAAAGGACCACTCCTCAGATCTGTCAGCAGGTCTGTGTGAGTAATCGCTCAGCGACCAACTGCAGCCACCGCAGGCTGAGGCAACAACAAAAAAAAGGCCCTTTTTAGGCAGCGGTCCCACGTCCCCGGCGGCGCTGGGACACAAGCAGCCAGACCTGGGCTGGGAAAGACACCGGGTGACTCACAGCCACTCGCACCGCCTGATGTGAAATATCCTGATGTGGAAAAGCAAGGGTGATCCCTGGGCAGGGAGCGGTCGCTTGGAGCTTTGGGCTTCTTGCAGAGGGGATGTAGGACCACTCACCTGCGCTGGCTGGCCGCTGCGGCAACCCTGGGGACACGGTGTTCCTCTGCAGTGCTGGTTGCTGTGGTGAGAGGAGCCGGGGGTCAGTCAGCGATGAGGTTACCAGGGATTGGGTCACCAACGAGCTGCCCGGGCTGCTGAACTGCAGCGTGTTCTGGTTGGTCACAGGAACCGTCACTGGCATGGCAAAGTTTGGCGTGGGCACTGCAGACTGAAGAGAGAGAGCAGGAGGTGAAGGGGAGCAGGTAGAAGGAGGTGCTCACTTCGCAGGCTCCCAGCAAGGGGGGGGAGGGGAGGGGGCAGATCCTGCCTGGGATTGGCAGCACCGTCCCATGGCTGCAGGGGAGTCAGCGTGGCCACCCCAAGCCTCCACGCTGCTGCACTTCCATCTGCACGGGGCGTGATGCACCCATCCATCTCAGCATCTTGGGGCAGCACTGGCACAGGAGCCCAGACAGACTCCTGTGGAACAGCATGGAGTCTGCCTAGACACATCACAGATTTCCCACTGGCTGCTTTCTCTTTCTTTTTAGGCCCACGTTTATTTCCCCGTCACGTTTTCAGAGCTCAAAGCATCAAAGAGGGGAGAAGTGCCATGAGGTTCCCCTTGCAGCACCGCCCCCTGCCCCTCTGCAGAGTGGCTCCAAGTGCCAGGGACAGGTTCGCAGCGCCTTGTGCCCTCCAGGTGACACTGAGGTCTGTCCTTCCACCACCAGGAGCTGTGGGGCAGGAGGAGGAGGTGACCCGGTGGGAGCAGGAGGACGGCTCAAGCCCTATCCTTGTCTGCAGGTCGAGGACCAGCTTCACCTACCAGCGTCCCCGCAGGAACCAGACTCACCGTGATTATCCCATCAGCCTTTCTTATGTCACTGATTTGCTCTTCATTAACAGGAACAGGCACCTGCTTAGAGGCTTTAGCAGGGGCTTTGTTAAAATCCCACTTTAATTTGCCAAGGGCTGGGAAAGCAGAGCGCTCAGTGCCACCAGACAACACCCAGCGTCCCCACCAAACACACCAGCAGGCGTGGAGGGAGCCAAGTTCCCAGCACCATGGTGTTACAGGGTGCTGTTCCTGGTGGTTGAATTCCTTTAAGGGGAGAGGAGAGGAGGGAAGAAGGGACGGTGCTCACCAGGCTCACTGCTGGAAACCCTCCCACCCGCTCAAGGGCATCCTGTCCTTCAGAGATCCTGTGGCCCCGAGCTGGCGCTGCAGCACGGCTCCAAGGGCTCTGGGGACTGGCGTGTCCCCTCCCAGGGCTGTACAAGCCTTAACACAGCCCTGGCCCTGCAACCAGGGGTTGCAACCAGCTGCAACCAAACAAACAAAAAAAAAAAAGGTGGGGGGCCACAGGGAGCCTGGCAGGTTTTGTCAGGTGTGTGAACAGCGTGGCAGCATTGTGCAATAAATCTCTGTAAGCACGTGTGTGTGCGTTCCCAGAAGAGGGAATGAAGAGCAAAACCCGGTGCCTCACATCCTCAGCGAGGATGATCAGAGAGCAGCATCCAGCCCCTGTGTCTCCATGCTGCTGCCAGGCCAGCGTGCGACTGGGACCCAGCACCAGTGCCTGGGGGTAGCTGGGGCACAGGGGCTGCCTGGATGCACTCACACCTCAGTCCAAAATCTGGGGAGAAGATGCACACATCAGCCAAGCCCTAATGATGTCTGATTCTGTCAAAAGCCATTGCAAACACGCTCCGAGCGCAGAGGGACTCTCCACAGCGAACACGGCTGCTGTTAGCTAACGAGCCCAGTTAGTTCTCATCACACACAAAAACACTCCAGCTGGTTAAAAAGGAGAAGCGTCACCTTCAACAGCACACGCTCTGCTGGAACTGCTCCATCCCCACTGCACAGGGGGTTTAGATGAGGAGCCGGATGCTCTGCCTTGAACCCCCAGCACCCGAATGCCCCCCTGCCCAAAAACACAGGCAGGCCAGGGCTAGTGCAGGGGCTGCAAGGGGATGGAGCTGTGCCTCCACCCCAAGCAAGCCCTGGTGGGGTCAGAATCTCTTCCCTAAAGAGCGAGATGCCACCGAGGCAAAACGCCTCGTGCTTTGCAAGCTGAGTCAGCAAAACCAAAGGGGATGGATTTCAAGACCCAATTTTCTTGAAAAGCCAGAATTTTTAACCTGTGTGGGCTCGCAAAGCGTGGAAGGGCAGATATCTTTTTTTCTTTTTTTTAAGGTGGGGAGGGGGCTGTGTCATTTCCTATTGCTGCATCCAGCCCTTGAATCCAGCCCTTAGCCTCCCTGCTCCCTGCAGCGTCCATGATGGCTGCAGTGACACGGGGCTAATCCCACTGAAGGAGGTTTGCCTGCACCGCCAGCCCTCGCTCCCACTGTTAACAACTAATTTGACACGCGTTCCCCCCTCCCGTCTTCTGACACAAATCCCTTCCAGCGCTGTCCTGATGCCACCCCGCTGACGGGCCTGGGATCACGGGCTAAAACCTCACTGGATTTCTGCCATGGCCACCAGCTGCCCTGAGGGCTTGATGGATTTGGGTGGAATTAAGGCAAAATGGCCCAAAGTGGGCTGACCCAGTGCTCCTCCCCGCTAGCTCATGGGGGCCTGGGGCTCTTAACCCACAGAAAACCCCTTATGGGGGGCAAAAGAGTGGCCAAGGAGACTCAAATCCAGTACTCATGGCCAAGGGGCAGAAGAAGCCCTGACCCAGAGCCCAGGGATGCTGGCTGAGTCGCGCAGGGGGCTGCTCCCACTTCTCCAGCTGGGAGACCAGAGGGTCCCCAACAGCTCCTGGTGCTGCTTCCACCACCAGCCCCTTTCCCCCCTTTTCTGCCCTCGTTTCCTGCCCCTCTGGGTGCATTCAGGGCCCTGGTTCCCACGGCACAGCACGGCTCCAAAGCAAAGCCATGCAAGACCCCCGTCACCCAGAGGCAGCCGGGGCGGGAAGGGCTGCAGGCCACCAGCTACTCACTGCGAGCCGGTAACTCTGCATCATTTTATCAAACTCCTCATCAATCTTTTTATATTTCTCCTCCGTCTGCGGGGTCAGTGCAAACACTTCATCCCCTTCCGGGCTTTCGCATTCCCTGTGCTTCTTGTTCAGCGCCTGTGTGACGTTGGGGGGGGGGGGGGAGGGGGGGGGGGGAGGAGGGAGGGAAGGGGGCAGCAGGGGTGTTGGGGAAGGAGTGGGGACGAGGTTGGGGGGGAAATCGAACAGAAGAAAAACAGAATAATGAAGGCTTTCCGGCCACAGAGCAGCTACTTACACCGTATCGCTTGAACAGGATATCCAGATCCTCGCTGCCTTTACGGTATTTATCCTCCATCAAGGGGCTCTGGTCTATCGAGTCATCTCCGTCGGGTTCCGGGCTGTCACAGCCATTAAAACCTTTCTTTCTTAACGTCTGAAAACACAATCAGGACAGTTTGAGACCTGGGACTGGTGGGGTTCTCCCGGAATGTCCCTGCAGCACAAAGGTGGCATTAAATGATAGGGACGGATGGACGGACGGATGGATGGAGGGAAAAACTGCCTAGATCTCAAAAGAGCAGTGTGTGCTGGTGCTGAATTTGGACCCATACGAGCTCAGCTGAGGGTTTTGTCACCTCCAGTCAGCACGATGACAAGGAGGGGAAATGAACCTCGAGGATGGGATGCACCCTCCTGCTAGAAATAATAGGTAAGATGTTTTTGCACATAGGAAACAGGGCCAAAAAGCAGACACAGGTCCTGGTCATCTGCGCTCCCTTATGCAGGAGCTTGGCAGGATGGGCACTCAGCAAAAAACCCAAGCAGGGTTTGAGCAAAAAGTCCCTCTTTTCACACAGCAGAAGCCAATCTGCAGCCTGTGCTACGCGTGCACATTTAATCATTTTATTTTCAAAATACCAAAAGCAATTAGGCGTTATTATGGAACCATCACTTGCCAATTTTTTTTTTTTTTTTAAGTCGAAGCTACAGAATTTCCTGGAATTCTTGATCTCTTTTCATGCCAAATTCAGAAGGGGGAAAAATAAAGGCCTTGACAATTCTCCTCTTCCCTTCCTAAACAGCTATAAACACCTCTGCTTCAAGGCCAAAACATCCTGGAGCCGTTCTGCTCTACCTGGAGCCATGCAGGCAGTGCAACCAGGAGCTGTTTGCCTCCCACTGCCATCCCAGCAAGCTCCCCTCCCTCCAGCTGAAACCCCTCCGTCTTTGCACCCGTGCTTCAACGCCAGCCACTTTCGACATCATCCAGGCTTGCAGAAACCAACACCATTTTGCCAGCCATGGCGCTCACGTGGTAAATTCAGCAGCAGCAGCAAGGAAAACCAGCAGATTCTGACACCACCTCTCCAAAAGAAACAAGGCTTTCAAAACGCGCGCTTCACCACCCCAAGTTTCACGCTCTTCCTTTGGATTGCGCCCACAGTGATGTCTTTACAGCAGAGCACATGGGGGGGAGGGGGGGGTGAAGCCCCACTTGGTGCTGCCATCCCCCCCAAATCCTGCTTATTGCTGCCATTTCTTTCCCCTTCACACAGGAGGGGCAGCTCCAGCAGAATGCGCTCTATTGGCACGGCTGGCAGCACATGCAATCCGTGCTGCCTGGTCACCAGAGCTGGGGCTCAACTCGAAGGCTGAGCCAAAGGTTGGTTCTCAAGGCCACTCTTTGAAGGCTCCTGAGGATTCTTCCCAGTTGTTCTGCTATTTCTGTCCACTGCCCTTGTTTGTATTTCGTACGACGCACGCAAAAAAACGTGCCGTGCTCTTGCAGTGGGGAAGGGACCGGCTTTGCCTTTTTTTGGAAACTGTATTTTTTTTGCAAAATTCTTTCCCCAAATCTTTTGTTTCGCCGAGGCAGCTGGAAAGTTGAGTCTCCCTCCTTGCTTAAAAAAGAGATTTTCCTCCCCCCTCTCTCTTTCTCTTTCAGAGGCAAAGTGGAAAACATTGTTCCATGAGCCATGGAAGCAATGAAGCTGTGTTTCCTACAGATGCGTGCAGCAGGAGCTGTGCTGGGGAGACTCTCCGGTGTCTAATAAGGGGCTGTGCCCATGCTGTGGTGTTTCTCCTCACCGTGGCCAGCTGTCCCACTCAGCTCTGTTCACAAAACTTAAAGGAAATCCCTCCTTCCTAAAACCTACAGTGCTGAAAACGCAAGGGAAAACAACCTCTTCTCACTTAAAAGTCCATTTCAACTGAGTTTCTTCACCTGAAAAAAATGCCAAAGGATAAAACCAGGGTGAGAACATCACCTCACAAAGGAAAAAAAAAGAGAAAAAAAAAGCCCTTTCCTGGTTTGGTGGCTGCTGACACCCTGTTCAGGAGTGGGTTTTAACCCGAGGAGGGTGGGAGAGCAGCAGGAAACCCCGGGCATGTGAGAGGAAGCGATGCTCAGCCAGGATGCAGCCGACTTCCCTTAAAGGAGGGTGGCTGCAATGTAAGCAACTCCTGACTTTGGGGAAGGATGGAAAGGATCAGGACATGGCGCCCCTGCACCTCCTGCAGCAACGGAACGGGGAGCAAAGCAGCAGCCAGCCACACAGCCAGGGAAAGCAGAGGATGCGCTGCCTGACCTGGAGCATCCCCACAGCCCTGCCCCGTCCCTGTCCCTCACCAGGAGCTGGCACATCAGCTGGGCTTCGGGAAACGAGAAGCGACAGCGAGGAGCAAAGCCGGCGTGATCCGCAGCCGGGCGCGCACGTGGCACTCAGCGTGCCTGTCTGAGGCATCGGCCGGGCCCTGCGATTAAGGACCCCCCCTTTTTCTCCCCCTCACTGCAGTCAGAGAGATTTTCTCAGACTTAAAAGCTTGCAGCAGTCAGGGCCGGGGCTAGGCAGGGAGCGGAGGGGCTCAAACCCCTCCTGCTGCACCGACTGCCTCATCCCAAGAGCTCAGCTTCACTGCTGCCAACCCTGAATCCCTGTGCCATGCAAGACTCCACTGCTGCCAGCTGAGTCCCTGCGCCATGCAAAGCCCCACTGCCACCAGATCTGAATCCCTGTGCCACGCAAGGCTCCATTGGTGCCAGCCCTGAGTCTCTGTGCCATGCAAGGCCCCACTGCTCCAATCCCTGTGCAAAGCTCCACTGCTGTCTGCTGTGCTGTGCAAGGGATTCAGGCCTGTGTCACCCCCTCCTCATACCCCTGAAGTGCTTCTGGAGGCACACAAGGCTGTGTCTCTCCTACAGGAATGGGAGACGGGTGTCACACAGAGGCAGCCACCCCTTCAGCCACTCAAACATCTCCAAACAAAATGCAGACCTCACAATCAGCTTCGTCCCTTGCCCATAGGGTAGAGCAGGATCCTGACCCCACTGCTGTGCTTGCCAAGCCTCCCACCATGACCTGAACCTCCAAGGAGAAGACATGCTGTGAAGATCTGACAGGTGAGACACCAATAACCTGCACAGAACTGGGGCTCTAGTGAGACCCAGTCTGAGTCCAGCCAACTCCACGATCAGGAAGGGTCCTAGCAGGGTTCAGAATAGAAAACAGAAACATCCTGGAGCAGCCCAAGCCCTGTTGCACACAAGGAGAAGGGATGAGGACGAGGATGGATGCCTGAGTGGCTTTGAACCCGCCTGAACAGGATCTCGGAGCAGATGACAGCAGCTCTGCTGGCTAGACATGCCGAGCCTCGGCTCCTCTCCCCACCATCCGCCAATGTCCTTCCGCTTCCCATGTTCCTCTCTCCAGCTTTGGATGCAGATTCATCTTTTCATGTGGTGCAAACACAGCATTTCTTTGGGTGCCAAGGACTGCGTGTAACTTGTCGGCTTGGGAGTGTTTGCATCTTGGACCATAAGGGAACAGAGAATGCTGCCCAAAATGTTTATGGTATTTTTAGGCTGAGACAAATCTGTTCGATGCTGCGAGCTCCAGTATGAGCATCCTGGGGAGGCTGGGCAAGGTTGCATCGACGAGCGAGGCAGGGAACCGTGGCTGTGAAATGCAGCAACTGAAGTGCACGAGGCCCTGCTGTTCCCAGGATAAGGCTACTACCAGTGCTTCAAATAACATCCAGAAAGAGCATTCTGAACAATTAGGAAGGTCAACAGACAGCTGCTTGTTGGCTGCTCGGTGCTGAGGAGGAGCGCAGCGGACGCTGGTTCAAAGCGCTCACAAAGAAATGCTTCAGAGAGGTGGAAAAAAAACGAAAACAACCAAAGAACCCAAAAAAAGCCAGATTTTTTGAGCTAGGTTGTGGGATTGCCTGGTTTTTTCTTGATGAAATCAAAGCCTGAGCTCACTGCCTGAGGTGGCTGAATTGCACCGGAGGGCTTCAAAGGCACAAATCGCAGGTCCAAGTGGCAGGAGAGGACGGTCTGCAGCATCCTCGCCACGCAAGCCCCAAAGTGACTAACGGTTCCACCGGTGCTAATTGATGCCCGCCCATAATGTCAATAATTACCCAGGCAGCCCTCGCGTTTGTCTGAATTTGCCCATGCGTAAAGGGAGCTGCCCACACACAGCTTGCAGCTGCTGAGTGACACACGCGTGGTTCTGTCACATCATCGCCACGATGTGGCTGGGGAGCTTAGAGAGCATCCTGTGCTCCAGAACGGTACATGGGAACAAGGAGGATGCAGTGGGGATGGCCGGAGTGGGGTGTCTGAGAACAAGGCTGCTGGTTTGGAGGGAGCTGTGGGTGTCGCCAGCCTCAGCAAGGGCTGGATGCTATGCCCTCATCATCCCTACCACAGAGCTGGGTCAGATAGGATTCACTAAAGGCAACTCCATCAACCCAGTGGGAGGCAGGCTGTGCTTTGAGCAGAGGTCAGAGGAGAGGCACTCAAAGGCCTCCCCAGCCAATGACACTTGGTGTCAGCTGCTACTGCCCTCCTGGAGCCCCACTGTGTACAAATGACACAGTTCACAGGGCCGGCTGCAGCTCTGGGAGATGCTTCCGAAACCCAACCTGATTTACCCAGAAAATCCCCAAAAAGCCACGCTGCACCTCCATTTCACAGCAGTAAACCGGCACGTCACTCCAGATGGCTTCCAACAGCACCGAAATTTGACCAATAAAATAGATGCCAAATCAGCCTGGAGGTCTCCTCGTTCCCTTCAGATTCTGCTCAGCCTCCTCCCCGCCCCAGCCCTGCTACAGTGGGACGTGGATGTGGCCTCACCTCAATGATGTCCGCATTGGTCCGGCTCTCGTGGGGCTCGTTGTACTCGGTGTATTTGAGCAGCACCTTGTCCATGTCGGTGCTGGCATACTGGAACAGCTTGTTGGAGTGGTTGAAAATGATCAGGGCGATCTCGCAGTCGCACAGCACGCTCAGCTCGTAGGCTTTCTTCATCAAGCCGAACTTGCGCTTGGTGAAGGTCACCTGGAAGCAAGCAGAAGGGATTTGGGATGAACACTGGAGGAGAAGCCAAAAGAAAGTAACAGCAGGAGGACACCTCTTGTACTCAGCTTCCCCAAGTGGACAACAATCCCAAGCTCTCTTCTCCCACCTCCCTCTCCTGCATGGCCCAACAGATTTGTGCTGATGCCTATTTTTGGGCTCGCAAGGCAGACACTTCACAAGCGCAGAGATGATTATCAGCATTGGAAATTGCATATTGCCAAATCAAGAGAAAATAAATTTCAGCAAAATCCCCAGCAGAGCTACCATCTGTTCAGGGGCTGCGGGTTGCTGGGGGGGGTTTGAAGTTGAATGTTCTCGCAGTGCAGAGCTCTTCCTAGCTCATCACAGCAGCCTGGATGTCACCTGGCCCTAGCCTGGAAAGCACAGGTGTGAAGTGCAGTTTTGTGCCCCAGAAGTCAGAGAGCTGCGTGTTCCACCTGCCAGCACTGTTTCCTGCTCTCCTGGTACCTTGCATGAGCACTGAACATCTCACCGAGGGAGAGTTGTGCAACAGGAGGTGGCCGTGGCCAGGGCAGGGTGCAGGCTCCAAACCCAAGTGATTCCCAGTCTGCACCAACACCCACCAGGATGCAGCCGGCTGGAGGGGCTGGTTTGGGGCTCCTCATCCCACTCACAGCACCCATGGATGCTCTAAGCATCTGCAAAATGCCCCTGAACCCCCAAAAGGGGAAAGGTGCAACACTTGCTCTCTTAACAAAAAGCAAGAGGAAAGGAATAGGAAAGCAGGGAGGGGAGGCTCCCGCACTGCTTCAAGTGTGTGTGAAGCAGCGTGCTGGGGCACAGGCAGCGACCAGCTGTGACACCCTGCAGTGCTGGAAGGCTGCTCCCTTGCTGCCTGCATGCAAGGTAGGGCTCAATCCCACTTAGGACCACAGTCACAGCATTGATCTTGAAGCCGAGCAGCTCCAGCCCGAGGTGTGGAGGCAGGAGCTTGATGAGACTTTGGCTCAGCAGTGCCACAGGAGCTGAGCCTGAGCTTCCCAAGGCATCGTCGCCACAGCCCAGCAGGCACCCAGTGACCTGTGAGGGCACAGCCCATGCCTCCCCATCCCTGCTGCTGGAGCTGGAGCACATCTCATCCCTCCCAGCCATCTCCTGAAGATGATTAAGCAGTAACGAGATTGGGCTCTAATCACCTCACCCGCTGCTCTCCGCCACGTGCATCACTCGCCCCAGCTCCAAATGCAAGCTCACGTGGCCAGCGGGCACCCAGGGACCCGAAACCACCGAGTGCTCGGGGCTGCCCTGAACTTCTCAGGATCCCCTCAGCTCTGAGGTCACCTGTCCAGAATGAAACAGCAAGCTGAGCGGTGACATGCAGACCAAAGCACCAAAGGATCCCCATCCCTCTGAGAAGAAGGAGATGTTTCCTCCCCAGGGGCACGGCACAGAAGCAATCCTTTTTCTTGGTGCCCACAGCTCTCCTTGCAGAGAAAAGCACACATCTGCCCTTTAACCAGCCCTGCCCCAAAAGCATCAGAGCTACGTGTGCCCTACACATCCAGCAGCTACAGGGCAGGGAAACACCAAACCCCACTGCGCCACGCAAAGGGGCTGAGATGCACGTGGGCACGCGCCCCATCTCAAAGAATTAACCTTCTAAGTCTAAGAGGGTAATCAAATCTCATGCTTCAGGGCATAAGCCGATCACCAAAGGGGTCAGGAAGGAATTACTGCCCCACACAGCCCTACACTACCAGGGGATTTTTGCCTTTCCCCTGATGCAGACCATATTGGTCATTGCCAGAGTCAGCAGCCTGGCCCTGAAGGACTGATGGTCTGATCTGTTCTGGCAAATCCTCTCCAGTAATTCCCCTAATGACATTAGAGACTCTTACTTGCTTTCCTCCCCTGGGTTTGGCTTCTGCTGTAATCCCAGTCCCCTCCACACAGACTTGCGCTCCCCGCTCCCTAAGGATGACTGTTGCTGGACCAGGAGAGCGCAGCCACAGCAGGGAGGCTCTGCGGGTGACCCCCCGTTTCCAGCATCCCCCAGCCACAATATTCCCATCTCCAGACAGAATATCCGCCTGCAGCAGCAGCAGGAGAGCAGCGAGTTGGAGCAAGGCAACCAGCCCAGGGACCTGAGGCTCACTGCACATCTGAGACTGTGGGAAAGGGCTGCAGACCCCCACACCACAGCCCCAAACGCCTCCTGCTGCTTTGGCTGCCGGTGCTGGCAGCAAGATGCTGCTTTCCCATCCCGAAGGCTTTACACAACAGTGCTGGGCTGTGCCACCGGCTCCAGCATGACCACAGATTTTCCATTTGCTGCAGCTCCAAACAGGGCTGGCTGCGTGCGTGCAGCACCACACTCCCCTGCACATCCCCAGCAAGCACACCCCAGCTGCTTTACCAAGCCCAAAAGCCCTGCTTGCTGCTTGCCACGGAAACGAGCAGTGCCACGAGCTTTCGGAGTCATTAGCAAAGACACTTCACGCCATCCTATCCCCTAATCACCAAATAATGAAGAAAATCTGCCATTTTCTATTGTTCGACTGAGGAGCAGTAGGACGGTTCAGCACGTTCTGCTATCTGCCACTTCTCAAGCATTAGGGATAGACAGCATAGTTTGTTTTTCCTGGAGGACAAATTAAAAAGCAGTAGAAAAGTGCAGCAGGACACGCACTGGATGTCCTCCACGTCCTCAGGAAACACAATAGTGGAGCAACCACAGAGCAAAGCTGCTCCAGCAAAGCGCTGCCACTCTGCAGCTTGGACTCAGCAAGATGAAAATGAGGGAGAAATGACTTTTCTTTTTCCCTGTGAGATGCATGGATGCGTTTACCCATGCATGTACACACATGCACACGTGTCAACAGCTCCGTGTCAGTGCAGTGAAAACCTGGCACGAGGAGGAAAAAGCCCTGGCCACAAGTTAGCGCTCCATTGAAAAGAATTAAAATTCCTTTGGGTTGCTAGCGTTCAGAAAAAATGGATCCTTGTTGTGGTTGTTTCTTATTGGAAAAAGCCTGGTGGAAAATGTCAAACGAAATACGTTTTTTGCAAGGGAAGAGAAGTGGCAGCTAAGGGGGGAGGATGCTTTCTTCTAGGAAGGGCTTAGGTGTGAGCAGCTCTGCGCTTGGTGGAGGAAAACAGGGCGGTCTGCTGGGCTTGGGGCATCTGCTGCGAGCAGCCTGAACCCAGCCTCTATGGCTTAGCATTATGGGCTGGAGGAGAAAAGCAGAGCTTGGCCCAAAAGGGATGCAAGTGGGGAGTTAATGAGAGCCTCAAAACGTGTGAAAATTGGTAGCTGGAGGGGGGGGGAGGGGGACTCACCTGCCGGTTCCGCTCATCGGTGATCCGCTGGATCTGGATCTTTTTCCTCCCCATCTTCTCAGGAGATCCTCACCGCAGCAGCACAGCGTCACCCGGGGGAGCGCGAGAGGAGCCCCCTTTTAAAATGTTCTCATGAAAAATGTTTGGGGGGGAGGAGGGGATGGAGAGGGAGCGATGAAGAACCAAGGGAAACCAAACGAAAAGGAGCTGGACGCTCAGTTCATGGCACCCTCCGGCGAGTCCAGTGGGGCTGAGCCATCAGAAACCTGCAGGGACAGAGGCAGAGGTGAAATCCAAGCCCACGGTTTTGAGGGGCATCCCATCCCTCCCAATTTTAGGGAACCCCCCCAGCATGCCATCGCTACCATCCTCCCAGGATGTGATGACTTGTTTTTTTCTCCCCCTCTTAATAACGCCACAAGCAGCTGGTGATTAGCTCAGGCAATTTAAATCCATCTCCAGTTCCTGCATACATCTCCAATGTTGAATTTTAAAATGTCTTTATTTGATTACTCGAAGTAAAGAAAGAAATATGCCCGTATAACCAGGCACAGAAACCTAATTCTTAGGGGCAGGGCGAAGGAGGACAGGGAAGGAAGCTGGGTCAGGGCACCCCATGAAACACAGCACCCCCAGCCCCATTTCCCAGTGCAAATGGGTGGGATGGGGCAGCAGAGGCACCGAGTGCCTTTCCCCTCTGTTTTTCTCCATGTTCTTTCTTCGAGTGGCTGAATAAGGGCAGTGATAACGTCGCACTTAACACAAGGGTGCCCCGTGCCAAGGCTCAGGCTGAGGGAAACGCCAGTCCCAGAATAGCTCCCTATCTGCCTCCACTTGGCAGCACCGAGCTCTCAGGCTGCTCACAAGCGATGCGACCAGAGAGAACCTCCTCCTTCTCCCAGCACCCAAAACCTGAGCTCCTCTCCTCTCCCACAGCCACCCTCCAGGGACCCTCGCCCCATCCTTCGCCAGCCCAGCCCCAGTTGTTTCCCCCCCCCCCCCCCTTCTCCCCTCCCACTTCATTTGTCAGGGTTCAGAGCTCTGTGACTCACTCGCCCTATTTATTTTTTTGGCACAGTTATTCATCCTGCACTGCACCCGGCGATATCAGAGCGGATTCGAGCACTGGAAGGGGAAGAGGATGATCCCCCCCTCTCATCACCCAGTGTTGGCTCCGTGGAGCAGCCAAGCATTCAGAAGCCCAGAGAGGTGAAGGACAATAGAAAGCCTTTTCTTTTTCCCCAATAAATCCCAACAGGAAAGATCAGTGCAAGGACAAGCACGCTGAGATTGCATTTGTTGATCATCGTTTACCCAAACTGCTGCGTGCATCCCCTCCCAGCCAAGCAGCAGTGCAACAGAGACGCTGCCAGGTTCTGCTCCCCATTCCCACCTGCACCAGCCTGTGCAGGAGCAAGCTGGGAGCCACGAGGGTTTTGCACGCACAGAGAAAAGTGGGAGGAGGAAGAACTTTCTGCAAGGCTTCCTTTGCAGCTTTTCCCCTTGGAGGTGGCACTTCTGCAACGTGGCTGCCAACGCACCGTTCCCATCCTCAGCACCGAGCAGCAGCTCTGCATCCAGAGCAAGGGCAGCATGCTGATGCCTCCCCTGTTGCTGCAGCACTTGGGAGAAGGAAACCCTCCCAAAGGGTGACAACACATCGGCCATCCAACCCTGACAGCAGGCATCCCCAGCAGCAGCAATTAGCACTGGAGAACACAGGCTATAAACCCAAGCCGAGCGAAAGGAAGCATTATTTTAACCTCATCCATTTGGGGAACTTCTTCCCAGGATGTGGAAGAGCTTCACCACACTTCCAAAGGGTTTGCAGATGAGCAAAGCCCAGCTCAGCCCTTCCTTGGGCACTAAACCACGTTTCCCTTGCTGAGCTGCAAGCAAAGCCCAGCTGCATCAACACAGATTCCCTTCCCCCAGCCCTTTTCTCTCCTGGTGTTTTAGCTGAGGTTTTGGGGCTGTTGGAGCATCCCCCACCCTTCCCCAATGTATTTTAAAGCCAGGTATTCTTTCTGGCTTCCTGACCAGGTGGCTGTTTCACAAATCTCACCGTCCACCCCCCCCCCCAGACTCCACTTTCTGCTCAGCACCTGCAATAAAGCACCCACATCCCCATCCCCACCCTGCTACAAGCAGCCCATCTCCCCAAGCTGATACAACACCCCAGCATGTCACAGTGGCAGAAAGGCAAAGCCCAACCCTTACGAGACAATGGAGAATCTCTGCAGCCCCAGCAAAAGGAATCATCCCACTCCACTTCGCCCCCCACTCCAGCACCCCTCATGTGCTTCTCACAAGGATGACTCTGGCAGAGCAATTAACACACATGCCAATTAACTCCAAGCAGGTGCTGGTTAACTCTGTGCTGAGTAATTCAACTCTGGCTCCGAGTAAATTGCTTTAAATTGGGTAGACGAGGGAGGGAGCAGAGTTAGCAGTTTGCAAATAGGGGAAGGGATGAGAAGAAAAGGAGGCTCTCAGCTGGGAGATGTTTGCACAAAACAAGGAATTTGGGGGTGCTGAGTCCACAGCTCTCAGTGCTGGCAGGCAGAGAGCTGCTCTCCTCCAAGCCCTTATTTCTGGGTTCCTGACTGGCTATATATATTTATTCCCGATCTGTTTTACCTGTTGCTAAATGATCTTACCCCAGTGCTGCGTGGGACCCTTTGCACCGTTCCAAAACTGCTCCCTTTCCCATTGCACAGACCCACGTTTCGCACAGAGAGGCACTGGGAGCTTCACATCCACTTTCTGTTGCCCGTTTGCTGTTTTTAACGCCCTTTCATAGCATCTCCTTTTTGCTGCCTGCTCACCAAAGCCAGCTCCATGCACGCCTCCCCCCCTCCAAGCTGACACGATGAAGCTGTCCTCTCCTGCAGCCCCACCTGTGATCTCAGCACAGCACCAGCTCCAAATAAACCAAACACTGACAGCGCAGCTGGAGAGATCAAAACCTGTGGATCCCAAAGACCGAGGGAGAGGAAGGCAAATAAAAGCAGTAAATATATTCTTTCCAACCAACAACAACAAAGTGTTTGTATTTCAAGCGCAGCCTCCGCATGGCTCTGCACTTTCCAGCCTGTTTGTGGGCATCAGTGCAGAGCCCAGCGTGGCATGAAAAGGGACTGCAAAATTTGGAGGGCTTCACGGAAAATAAAAGTAAAGGGGTGCTGTTTGGGAGTCCAGATCTTAATTTTGAGGCACCTGGGTTTAGCAAAATCCTCCCTAAGCTGGTGCAGGGAAGAGGGCACAAGGGTGGGGAGATGGAAAGGCAGAGAGTTGGGAAGGAAGGAGGGGGAAAAAAGGAGGAAAAGAAGGAAGGGAAGAAGAGGGAAAAGAAGGAAAGGAAAAAGAAGGGAAAAAGGAAAGCCCTCCCCTGACAAGGTGCCAAAAGGACCTGCGCTGCTCATCGTGCGGAGGAGGTGGATGGGAGAACGGCTGAGAGCGGTGCAGAAAATCCTAAATTAAAGGGAGAGAAGCTGTGGCGTTTCCCACCTGCTGCAGTGCAGGAGGAATGAAGGATTTGCTGCAAAGAGGCAGTGAGTGCAGAGCTGCACGTCCCAAGGTATGAACTCCCCCAGGTGGGTGCACAGAGATGCTCCGCAGGCACCCAGCACCAACCTGGGTGTTAGGGTTTCATGGGCTTCCACCAGGAGAAGGGATCCCGAGCCCCGGATCTGCAACACCATCAGCACCTGCACAGACTCAGGTTCTCCCATGGCCAAAATCCACTGCACAGCCAAGGTTCCCAACTCCACAGTGCCACACATCTGTCTCACCACGAGGCCTGGACTTCCTCCTCTCAAGGATACGGAGCCAGCTCCGGTCACCTCTTGAACCTGCTCTAGTTCTTGCCTTCCTGTTTCCTCTCTCGCTGACGGCCAGACCTCCCTGTTGTGACTTAATTGTTGTTTTTGACATATCCTCTGCACCGACACCAAGGACTTTTCGTTTCCTCATTGCCGCTTTCAGGACACACAGGACCAGCTTCCTCCTCCTGAGGAGGGTGGAAAACAACCCCCTGATTCATTCAGCCACAGCGCCCATGCTGCTGGGCGCCGTTCTTCCTCTTCCTCCTGCACTGTCTCTGCTCTACGCCGTACTCCACATCAACCACTGCCATCTCCCCCATGCCTGCCATCACCCCCCTGCGCTCTCCATCACCGTGCCACTGTCACCCCTCCGAGCCATCACAGCTCTGCACCCACTGCCATCCCAGCGAACCATCACATCCCACCCAGGATGGCAACCTGGGGGACAGGGTCTGCAGAAACAGGGACGTGCAGCGCCGCGGGACGGGAGAGCAGCCACAGCTTTGGTAGCACGGATGGCAGAGGCTGCGTGCGCCAGGCGAAGGGCTAGCTCACCCACTCAGCGTTGTTTAGCACCTCTTTATCTCCAAACCGAGATCAAAACCACACAAACGCACTCGTGTCCCCTCCAGAGCTTCTATTCTGGTTTCAGGATGATGTTATCTGGGTTCCTGTGCAGAGTCTCCAGATGCACACGGGGGAGGGGAGAAAAAAGCGGCTGAAGCGCGTTGCTCTGGTGTGAACCTGGCTGGGATGCACAGCTGCACGGTCGGCCCCAGCCCTCCTGGGGACAGATCCTGCTCATGGAGCAGGTGCAGCAGCACGGGTCTCTGCAGCTGGCACCAGCTTTGTGCAGCAAAGTGCTGGGCAATGCACTCTGGTGGATACCTGGCTCCCGTTGGATGCATCCCACAGCCACAGGTATCACCACGGGAGGCTCCAGAGAGCAGAATCTGGGCCAGATTCAGCCGAACCCCTGAGGAATTTGAAGGTAGAAACATTCCTGACCCAGATTCAGGCATTCTCTGGAGGAAAGCAGATGCCAACTGCGCTGCCAGCTCTGCTGAGCTGTAACAAAACCACGGGTTGTGCCAAGAACGGCCGAGCCTGGGGAGGAAAGCACAGCCCTGCAGCGATGCTGGAGCACCGATACTCGTGTGTTGAATTAAGGGGGGGGGGGGGGGGTGAAAGGCTTTGGGGAAATCAGCAACCAGAGGGCTGCAGAGCAGAGGTGCCAGGCAGCACTTTACTGAAGTGACCCCCAAAGCTGCCCACAATAATGGGCTTCACCGCAATCCTGAGCGGCAGCCCTGGTGGCAGCAGCATCCTCATTCAGAATCCAACCCTGCTGGGAGAGAGGACATCCCTTGGACACCCCCACCACCCCACACACCCACCACCACAGCACTGCCCATCTCCTGCATGACAGCATCCCATAC